GAGCCTTGGTTACACGCAACAACACACCCTCTTCATCATCACTACCCAAAATTTCATCAAACTCATTATCATCCAAAGACAAAACAGCACGAGGAATGACAACTTTTGCTTTCATGCTACCTCTTTCACCTTCACTAACTTCACTTTCACTAACTCCCTCAACCTCATCACTATTCTCACTCTCTTCCCCCAAAGACGAGTAATTCACCGACGTTTCCTCGTCAACATCACCAGCAAATGGTCTATAAATCACACTCCCACCTGAAAACTCACTTTCATCTCCAATCTCTCCACCGAACTCTTCCCCTAGTAGCCTATCAACCCTAACCCCACCCAAAATCACATCCTCTAACTCCTCAGTCTCATCTTCATCAGTCTCAAAATCAACTCCATTACTATAACTACTAGCTTCACTACTTGCTGAATTATGTTCGTCAGTTACAGAACCAGTATCATCATCCTCATCAATTGTAACAGGTGCACGAATTGGAACATAACCTGCAGATGAAAACGAACCAGAGAGAGTACGTGTAAGAAGAAACGAATCAGCTCTTGCCGCCGCAACCGCTCTAACCGCGGAAATTGAAACGCGAGGTTTCTCTGAATCCGTGAGAATTGAAACAATCCCAGGCTTCTCCGACTCCATAAAACCAAAAGCATCCAAAATTTACACAGAACAAAACAAAGGAAAACGTTAATTCAAACAAAAAGAGGTTTTTTGTGAGTTTCTGTTTGTCGTGACAAGATAATTAGGATTTATGTATGTGAAGCTTTGTGGCTGTGGAAGTGATAGTGTGGAAGACGAAAGAGCCACAGAGAGTGTGAGAGCGATGCTACAATTCAGGCGGCTCAAGACAAAAATTGAAGATTTTGCCTAATTATCCACTTTTTGGGGTCAAGTTTGAAAATTTCACATTTGAAAGAACGATATACGAAATATTTTAAGAGTTTTGGGTTTATTTGTTATTATTACTATTTATCAATGTGTAATAAGAAACTCTGTGTGGGTAAAGCATCTCCGCCGTAGCCATGGCGGTTTTCCGATGCGCCGTCTTTTTATCTCCTTTGACTTTGTTTCCGTCGTACTCTACCGGAAGGAGAGTTTCTTTTAAAGTTATCCGGTGTTCTTCGGTTTCGAGTCCGTTCTCGTCGAAGTCATCAAGAAGGAAAAATTACCTGCGACCCAAAATCCTTAGAACCCTAAATCCGAAGCCTCAAGAAACCGTCTTAATCGAAATCGAAACGCCGGAAAATGTTCCTCCAAGCGACGTAGTTTCTAATCAGGATGATCATGTAGAGGAGGAGCTTCAAGTCTTAAGTAGCTCGGTTGTGTCAAATGAGCTAAATGGTATATCAAGTAAGCTCTCTCCGAAGTCATTGGCGAAGTATGGATTGTGGTTAATCGGAATATTCGCTTTTCAAACAGTTTGTGCTGTTTTGTTTCTGGGAGACTCAACGAAATCCGAGAATACGCCGGAAATTTCGAGTGGTAGTGGTCAAAATGGGGAAAGAGAGAGCAATGTGGTTTCATTAGAGGATCTTGAGATGAATGAGAAGATTGCAGAGATCAGATTGATGGCACGTGAAGCACGTAAAAGTGAGGGTAAGGAAGAAGAGGATGAAACTGGGATTGATATTGAGAAAGAGATAGAAGCAAGATTGTCTAACATGGAGAAACGTTTGAATTCGCAGAGGAAAGGTTTAGCGGGATTGCGTGTAGAACCGTTGGATGAATCTGGAAATGATGAGGAAAGTTTGATGTTTGAGAAGAAGTATAAGTTTAAAGCCGAGAAGCCACCAACGGGTAATGTGAAAGGCTTTGGTGGAAGTAAGGGAAATGATGAGGTTATATCTGGGACTGAGATGACAGGGCAAAATGGGAATGTTAGTGAATCACGAGATCCTGAAGAACAACAAATAGAGGCAGGGCTTTCAGATTCCGAGATGGTTTCTGGTAGGTTTTAGAATAAGTGGATAATCCTGCAACAACGTTTTGTTTAAAGTACATTGATGAGTTGTGTTAATTTGCAAGAACAAATGGTGCTGTTAGGGATGTAACGAATAGATATTGGATTGACTAGCAATGAATATGAGGTTTAGCAGAGTGTAAAGAACGGGTAGCTATTTTTTAACTTGAAATACATGCAAAGTTGATCTTGTGTAGTATATATATGGAATATGCTAACTAGTCATGAAGAGGAAATATTTTGCAATCCTCAGCTTATCTTAAAATTTTAGGTGCTGCTCAGGAATCTGAGCTACGACGACCGTCAAACGAAATTAAGAAGTCAAGAAAATCTGGAAACCGAGTGGGCGGAACACAAAATATGGTAGCTGGTTCCGGATTTGGTAGCACTTCATTGTCAGGGAAACATGGAGAAGTCAGGAAAGGAAAACCGATGAGAAGAGCAAGGGAGAAACAATCTGAGAAAGAGAATAAAATGTGGTGGCTCAAGCTTCCCTATGTGCTGGTAGGTGAATAATATTGGATTTGTGGTTTAAAAGCTCTCTTTGCCATATCCAATCACTAATTCACAACCAAGTACGAACTATTACAAAATATTATGAGCCAGCACTTACCGTTTTCTCTTTTCATCAGAGGATTCTCATGCGTAGTAATATCGATCAAGACATATCTGAGGGATTTTTTACTCTGAGGACCGAATCTATGGAACAAAATGAGGGCCAGGTCTCATACATGATTGCATTTGAGGATCAAAGTGATGCTAGAAACTTCTCTTATCTGCTTGAATCAGTTTTTGAAGACTTGGATGATTTCATCGCCGATATAGCTCCCGTGTCAACCAAGGTAGACAGCTCTTTCTTTTACTAACTTGATTCTTCTTTCTTAATGTCTGCATCTGTGAAATTTACTTATTTAGGAGAATTGTGTTCCTCAGAACCCTGAATTTCTCTTCATGATCAGAGAGTATAAAGTATACTGGATTTTAAGAGCAGTGAGATTGTATTTATATTTATTCACTGTAGGATCTTTATGATGAAGTTAGCTCTGGTGACAAGAATGTGATAGTTGTGAGGAAGAGGCAGCTTACGTTGTATGCTGGACAACCATTTGAAGACGTTGAAAGAGCTTTGCGAACTCTGATTCAAGAACAAAGATGAAAAAGTAACAACACTACTTCGAAATGGAAAAACGAAAGAGTCCAGAGGTGATCGATGTGGATGACAGATGCATTAAGAACAATTGGGCCACAACGACAACTTTTCATGAAGCTTAATGAACCATGAGCCTCTAGTGTATTATGACATTGGAATTGAGAGGACATATCCAATAGGAATTGCAGAAATAGAAGATTGTTACATCATGTAAAAACGTATTTTACATGAATCAGAGAGAACAACATTTCCTCTTTAGAAATTTATTGAGATGAGACAATCTTGATCATGGCTTGTGCGTTGAGCCCTGTTACTTTCTTCTCACAAAACTTCTTCCAAGCTTCTTGCTTGCTTCCTTCTTCGTCATCCTCTTCATTCCATGTAAATTTCTGGAAAAGAGAGTTCACCATACTCCTCGCGGCTTCCCTTGCCTCTGGCAACTTGTCACTCAACAAATCCGCAGCCATTTGTGCGAGCAGAACCATCCCAAATTCTTCCATTTCATTTAGCTCCTGATAACAAAACATATAGAAGAAAAGATCAATCACAATTCAAGAAAATAAAACTTTAGCTCTTACCATTTTAAACATTGTTGAAGAATCCAAAATACCATTTTAGAAACGCAGTTGGAGGTAGAGACAGCAGCTTTGGCCCTGACACGAGGGTTACTGTGACGGACATAAGTCTGAAGCTTACGCAGAAGCGGCAAGCGAGCCACTGAGTTAACCATCGTGTTCAGAGCTTTGTCTGCTTCTTCACACACAAACTTCTTATCTTGTGAAGCTTTCATCAGCAACTGCAACAGCTGTGTTTTCACCATCAAGATACCAAATTCAAACTATTTGTTAATTAACACTCCATAGCCAATAAAAAACTAAAATGACCCAAAAAAATAAATCAAAATTTACCAGATCATCCATTGATTTCAAATGAGGTCCTTCCAGCAACTTTTCTCCATAAGCAATGAAGATATCAGAACAAGTCATAATCGAAGTCTTACACAATGCACTTCTAGGGTTTTTCATCGCCTTCACCATCACAACTATAAGCTTTTCTCTACACAATTCAATTCACAAAAACAAAATCATCACCAAAAAACTCCATAAGATTCAGATTCTGGTAAAATAGAAAAATTAAAAATACTCACAGAATTGGTAGCAACAGAGAAGAGTGATAAACTGCGAATCTCCTTGTGTTATTCAATGATTCACATACTTTAATCCAATCCTTTGATGCTAATTCTTCTAGTAATCTCTGTGATAAGAATTGAATCAATGATCATCAAAACAAATTACTCCACAGATTTTTCGAATCAATTGAGAATCATACCTGGACAGAGGATTCAGGATCTGAAAATGGTTCGAGATTCTCAGAAGCAACGTATTCAACGATCGATTCAGGCACAACAACAGGGTTGTTTTCGTCATTCAAACCAATCTCCGGTTGCTTTGAGAGTTTAGCCAGCTTCTTAGGTCGTTCTTGTGAGATCGGAAGAGCGTTTTCAATGTTTCTCAACGCCATTGATAGAAGTTTTTTTGAGAATTCAAAAGAGATAGAGAGATTTTTGATTTTGGAAAATCGTTCTGGGGAATAATAATCAGTGGTGGGGTTGAAATGTTTAATATAAAGAGAAAAATTTGTTCCCTTTTTCGCATTTTATATTCAAAAATTCAAGAGGAAATAAAGCAGAAGACCGTTGGTAAGGTTTCGGCTCCAACGGTCACAAGCATCGGTTCGGTTTAGATTAATTAGATTCGGTTACTTGGTTAATTGCTCATTTCACACGACGTCGTTCCCTAACTTCTACGAAACGACAACGTTTAAGTTATCACTTCTATGCCACACGCGAGTGTTGGTAAATGTGTGACTGTTCAAGGGAGAGAGCTAATTCTCCGTCTTCAATGGTTCTCTTTTCCCCAATTGAAATTGAATCACTTCCCTAGAACAATTGATTTTGAATCTTCCTTTTTCATGGACCAAGAGTATCGGAACTCTAGAACGTCGGTGACGCACCACCAACAGCATCATCATCATCAAATGAGAATGACGGTTCCACCACCACCGTCTCCTCAACCTTCGCCACCGGTTCTTCCTCATGCTGAAAGTGATCAGAGTACCTCGGAGCTTCGTTCTCTCGACTTTAATCTTACTTCTTTATGCGATCATATTCAATCCGAAGGTTTTGGCTCCGGTGCGTTTTCTGATGTTGTTGTTAAAGCTATGGGATCCAGTTACCATCTCCATCGGTTGATTCTATCTCGCAGCTCCTACTTCAGGTGAATTTTCCGATTTATAATGGAGCGATCGACTCGAATCACCGGGTTTCAGTTAGAATATTGGATTCTGTGGTAGGCTTTTGATATTCAGGTTTTGCCATTTGTTTTAAATTATGCAATTTTGCTTCAGGACTATGCTTCAAGGTCCATGGAAAGAAGCAAGCTCTCCGGTTGTGAACTTACTTGTGGATGATAAAAATGTTAATGGAGATGCTATTTCTGTTGCTTTGGCTTATCTTTATGGGTATCATCCTAAGCTTGATGATGATAATGCCTTTCGTGTTTTAGCTGCTGCTTCTTTTCTTGATCTCCAGGTAGTCTTAATTCCTGTGAATTAATCAAAAGATTAGTTTCTTTTGGATCAGTTGATCTAAAAACTAGGGGGTTTTGCTACAGGATTTGTGTGCCATATGCACCGATTTTATTATTTCTGAGCTGAGGACTTCAAACTTCCTGGCATATCAGGTTTGAGATATATTAGTAATGTATATTTTTCAGCCTCCTTGGTCTCCGTGAATATTGAGTACATGGAGCTTCTCCCACTTGTGACTCAGGTGTTTGCTGAGAGCCAAGACTATGGCATACATGGAGAACGTGTAAGGAATGCTTGCTGGGGTTATCTCTGTCAAAGTGGTGCCGTGGAACTGAGAGAGGTAAATAATGTCTATGCTTTAGAGTGACATTATGACTTTTATGTAGTTAGTGATGGCCTCGTTTCTTTTGGGTATTTGTCAAGAAAGCAAAAGTATCCTCATTCTAGCTATATCCTGTTCTACCTATCTCATTGCTAAAACGTTTTTCCTTAATTATTGACATGATGTATATGGCTTGACAGTCTTCCATCCTATATGTCATTCTATCTCGAAAGCATCTGATAATGAAATCAAAGAGTGTTCAACCTAGTTTTTAGTATTCTAGTTCTGACTTGCTACTTATTTTATCACATCTTATGGTCAGATGCTGCCGAAACTCTCTGCACAGACTCTATGTGCATTGCTGACATCTGATGAACTATGGGTGCCTAGTGAAGAAAAACGGTATTGAGAATTGCATACTCTAACTGTATTATGGTTTCATGCTGTATTTGCATCTATAAAGTTTCTTTAAACCTTGTTTCTTTCCATGTCAAAAAGGTTTGAACTGGCATTGTACGCGTTCATATCAAATGGTGCTCTCTCCAACTCAGAACATTCCAATAAATATTCCAGGTTTGAGAGAGAGACAAGCTTTCCTTTGGATTCAGCTATATCAAAGGGGAAAAGTGTGATGGATGATTTCTCTTTCAGGAGTTTGGACTGTAAGTTAGGTCATTTAGATATAGAAGACGACCTACGAGATGCTAGTGATGATGTGATTGTTCCACTCGCAGAAGGTGTTATTGATTTCCAAAGAGGTGTTTCTGGTTCAAATCTCGTGTTTCAGCAATCTCCTAACTCACAAACAAGTTTTGGTCGTACTTGCACCAGTGTTGTTGATAAGACAGAAGGCAGTGGGGTGGCAATTGAAGGACCTTCTGAAGAAGCATACCATTTGAGTAATGATAGTTGGTTATCAGGAGCAGACTCTAGAAATTCTCCTACTTTAGGTTCTTCCTCTGATGGTTTTGTGGTCAGTGAATGGGGAAACTGTGGTGTTTCTGCTCTAACCTGGGGTGGGCGGGTTGTAGGGACAAGGCAGGGTACAGGCTCTGTTAAAGGAAAATATGGATTTACTGAGGAAGAATACAGTGCATTTGTTAACACTTTTGAAGGTGGTTCACTTCTGTATTGCAATATGTCTTTTGAAATACTATTGAACGCAAGAAAAGAACTTGAAGAGTTGGGTTTCCCTTGTAAAGCCGTGAATGATGGCCTCTGGTTGCAGGTTCGTTGACTTGCTTGCTTTCTCATTCAGCCAGTCTTAGAAATGTAGGGATGGTTGATTCGCCTACCTTTGATACATTTGACTTAATGCGGCGTAGGGATTTTGAATCAAAATGGAGGCATTTATCATGAGCAATCTTACTCTAGTGTTACATGTTTGCTTCTATAAATGCATTTAATATTTTTATGTTTGACTACTATTCAGATGCTTCTCAGTCAAAGGGTGCAGGAAGTTGCTGCCAGCACATGCAAAAGGTGTTGCCTTATTAGTGTTGCTTGCGCGTGTAAACAGGGATTTGGGGTTTCACATGGTGCAACCTTCAATAATTATTATTGCCAAGACAATGTGCAGAACAATATGATGGGAGACATGGAAAATGTCTATGTGGCGGAATCTTCTCAAGGCGAAGGAATAGGCATCTTTAAGCCTGTCAGGATCAGTGTGAGGGGACAACACATTGATGGACTTGCAGGCATTGGATGCGAAGCTACATTTGTGCCACCACCTGCATGGCCTCCTACACCTTTTGTGTACTCTCGTGTCCCTATTAACAGAAATGGTCAGCAATCTATTGCTAGTGATGGTTCTGAAGGTAGAATTGACCAGATTGGAGAAATTTCAAAAGACGGCTTGACAGCTCTGGTTGGGCTGAGCCAAGGGACAAGCGGTGTTGGTAATAATCTTCGTGGTGATCAAACTGAAGGAGGGCGTGGCAGTGGAGCTACTGTTGGAATGTCAGAACCAAAGGAATCTTCAGTAGGGACTGAGTGGGAGAACGCAAGTTGTACCATATCACTCGATACAAGGACACCTTTGTGTCACTTTCCTCCCTTTCGTTTTGGGTACTGTTTCCAGTCTTGTTTAGTTGTAGATACACTCTTGGTTTATTCCAACTTTGCTGTGACTCCTTGTTTTGTCCTGTTTGGTAAATGGTTCCACTCAGATGAGTCTTTTCATTGTCTGCAGAGTTGAATTTGAGGATGTCCATAGACTCGCTAATGGTCATGTGGAGCATTCTCCTGAATTCTTCTATGCTGGTTCTCTGTGGAAGGTATCACAAACTCACTACTCAGTTGTCAAGCTTTCTCTTGAAGCTGTTCTCGCTTTCTAATGATGAAATTGTATTACCGTATGCAGATTAGCATTCAGGCATTCAATGATGAAGATCCTCAAGGACGTCGAACGATTGGTAACCTGAGTCAACACAATGACAAGATCACATATTTTCCTCACGTTAGATTGGTGTGTAACTTTGATTATCAATTTCTACAGGATTGTTTCTTCACCGCCGCAAAGCAGAGATAGTGGATTCAGTAAGGAAGGTTAGTTTTATGTGGTATATTGTTATAACAGAGCTACATTAATTGTCATGTCTTGTGAAATAACAATCTCTTCTGCCTCATTCAGGTCCATGTTTACATAGATCCTCGTGACAAAGTGACTGCACGTTACCAGGTATGTTACATATATTTATTATCAAGTTCTCGTTAATATCGATGTACGAATCCATTTCTAAGCGAAATAACAAAATCGTAGGTCTTGTTTTGATGCATCTATAAGCTATATTCATTGTTCTTGTAGCTTATCTGCCCATCAAAAAGAGAAGTGATGTTGTTTGGGAGCTTTAAACAGAGAGGAACTCTTCTGCCTAAAGCTCCCAAAGGGTGGGGATGGCGCACCGCACTGCTCTTTGATGAGCTCTCTGAACTTCTCCAGAACGGTGCGTTAAGAGTCGCTGCTGTGGTTCAACTGGTTTAGAGGTCTCTTAAACTCGAGAATTGTATGTAAAAACTCGAGAATTGTATGTAAAAACTCGACAAAATCCACATTTGGAAGTTACCCTCTTAATAAATATATTCTACTTCCTTGGGCGTGTTTGTATAAATGAGTCAGAAATTATTTGAGAGAAATATCAAGTTTTCAGAATATCAATTTCTTCTAGATTGTTCATTGTTTTGTTATTTAAACAAAAAAATTAGCAAAATTAAATGAGAAAAAAATAAAAATTCTTAATGCATTAAATCCTACATTAGTCCTACTCTTAATTTATTTATTTTATGAAAATTATGTTAATAAATCAAGCACTATTTTCATTTTACTCTTCTTATTTTACTAAATTTTTTTTTTTGTTACAATGGTCACTAATGACTGAAAATTTATTATGTAGTTTAGTTGTTTGCTCCCTAACATCTTATTAATTTTATAATTTTATCTTGCGTCTTTTCTCATTATTACGTTTTGTGGTTTATATACAACTTATCATATGGCCATCAATTTTTTCATTTTTGTGTCTTATGGTAAGTTAATAGCATTGACATGCAAGTTTTTTGTGTCTTTCAGATGTTAGACATATCAAGGAATTCTAGACACAACTATTTTTTTTATATGGCTATATGTAGAAAATCTAAAAGTGCTGAGCTAAATGGCTCTTTAGCATTTGCTTCTTTTTTTTTTTTTTTTTCGACGTTAAATGCTTATGTTAATACCTTCATCCCAAACGGGCTTTAGGCCTAAGGGCAATAAGCAAGGCCTTACAACGATAACACGGATACAAAAAAAGAAAGAAACGGCTGACAATTCCGGTGACACTAGATCGGACCCGGAGGTTGATCGGAAAACAAGGAAACACATCCATTAATTCCAGCGATTACGAGAAGCACTGCTTCGCGGCTACGACGGCGAAAACGAACTCATTGGCAGAAGTAATCGGTTCCCGTCGCAAAGCCGATCCCGGCGACAAACATGAACCTGCAACACTTCTCCCGGCATGAACCGATTCCCAGAAGATCCGTAACCCAATCTCTCTAATCCTCTACCTAGCGAAAAGAGAGAACCTAAAAATCTAACACCCAATCTCCAGCGCTGACAAGCAAACATGACCTTCACGAGCAAAGCCAACCTCAGATCCGGTCAGACGAAAACAAAATCTAGGAAGCTGAGAGGTTAAATGGCTCAAACCAAGCCTCAACAGCCAAGATCCGAGATTAGCCGTATCAGATCCAGATGGATCTGTCGTTAATTGCCTCAATAAACAGCCTAACCCACCAATCCGCCTTCATGACTTCCGCCGCAACCCGCAGCACCCACCGCGAGCAGACGAGCCGCGAGAAATCTCCACCACCATGCCTCCAGCGTCCTCAACCAAAAGATTTAGCATCGGGAGATTTCTCAAAACTGCCGAGGAAGAAGCCACAAATGCATCACGAACCGGATACTCCACACCGCAGCTGTCGGAGAGGAAAGCTCGCTCACCACCGCATCATTGAAGAAGAACCAGACCTGCAATGAAGATCTAAAAGCAAAAAAAAAGAAAAACTTAAAGAAGATCTGCTTTTTTTTTTCTTGAAGAGAGAGAAGAGAGACGCCGAACGATTGTCCTCCATTTGCTTCTTTTTTTTCATATGAAAAACTCTTCAGAGTTCAAATTATGTCAAGTCAGTATTTAATCATGAGCCTATCACGATGTGGTCGGAGTACTAGATCAGGAGAGTGCATAGAGCAATGAATTTTTTTATTTACAATTAAGTTAGACAAGTTTTAAACCACACAAATAACATAATTATATATCAATGTATCAAAATATCCTATATTGTTGTTGTATGTAGCCATGATAATGAAAAAAATATTAAGATCTTAGATATATAAATAATCATATACATGAAAATGTATAAATTGATATTTCGAGTCAAAAATAAATGTAACCATAGAAATTGTAATTACATAAAATAGATCTAAATTTATTAACAACACGATATAAAAAAAAAACATAAATTAGCAATAAGAACATTCAACATAATTTTTTTAAACAATTTCACGCGTAGTGTGGGTATTCATCTAGTCCTTATAAAAAAACTAATGAAAACAGAATAGACAACGAGTTATCACAAACGTCATCTGCAGAATTATGGATAAGAAGCAGAACAATCAAACAATGTCGCTTTGTAAAAACACAACCCACAAAGTTTATCGGTATAGAAACCTTGTGCACCAACTATGGTGGATTTTCTGCTTGCAACATGCATATCCCTATTAATGATTTACCCACCATGAACCCCAAAAGGTAGTGTGATTTTTCAAACGCGTCCTCCTCAATCCTCATTCTCGTATTGTTTCATCATTTTCTAATTTGTCTAAGACTTCAATCGTTCCTTATAAAGGTTTTAAGCATTTTTTATGAGACATTTATCGCCTGAACGTTTTCTTTAGATCTGTTGATTGCCTTCATATGTAAAATCACAATAGTAATGTGTACAATGTTAGATATTCAAAAGTAGAAACAAAAGTATCATCAACAATATAACACCGTTCATTTCTATCTAAATACTAGTATTTTAAGGACTTCGAGAATAAGGTTATGCTGGCCAAAAAAAGCACAAAATCTTTTGTCTAGCTTAAAGCGCATATCTATTTGATAAGAAAATGTTAGTTCTAAGGATTTCATTGATAAAAGACCTTTTGGAGTTTTTATGACTTTATCTACGGTACAAGAGATGAAAATTGCTATCGACATAAAGATCAATCAATGTTCAAACAATAAAGTATGGACTTTTAATTGCGTTTAGTTGCATTTCTCTTATGGATTTTTTTTCCTTTAAAATGAAAAAAATTATACATGTTGAGCACAACAAAATAGGTGCGTATCAATAGTGAGAGGTGCGTATTTTAGTTTTTCTTCATGAATTGTACCGCATTTTTTTTTACCACTGGTCTGATGTCTCAATTTCTCTCGCGTTAGGATATGAATTGGATTTACACATCATATTTAACTATTAAATGAAGAATCAATTATAGATTTGCCATTTTTTTGAATGGCATTTGTGGATTTTGTACTTTCTTGAATAGTTTGTGGATTTTATCCTTTTTCAGGCTATACAAATGTGATTTAACATGCAATTTATCCGTTATATTTGAGTTTAGTCGGTTCTATTTGTTCTTAGGGTTTAGTATTTGGTATAAAATACATATTTTTGCAAAAAAAAATCGTTTATATAATCTTTTTGCAAAAAAAAATCGTTTATAAAATCGTTTATATAATCTTTTTGTTCACCCAAACTGATATATAATCTCGTTTAATTACAAAATCTAAACTTTAGTTCTCCTTTGTAAACACAAACCGCCATTTAAACTTGTATAATCGTAAAAATTCTAAACCCTAATCATACTTTCTAAACTCAGGCCGACATTTAACCTCATTTAATTGTAAAATCTAAATCCGTTTATAAACCGAAACCGATATTTAACGTCATTTAATCATAAAATCTAAACCCTAATCGTACTTTCTAAACCCAAACCGACATTTAACCTCGTTTAATTGTAAAATCTAAATCTGTTTATAAACTCAAACCGATATTTAACCTTGTTTAATCATAAAATCTAAACCCTAATCGTACTTTCTAAACCCAAACCGACATTTAACCTCGTTTAATTGTAAAATCTAAATTTGTTTATAAACTCAAACCGATATTTAACCTCGTTTAATCATAAAATCTAAACTCTAACCCTTTCTAATAAACCCAAACCGATATATAATTTTGTTTTAGTGGCAAATTAGATTTTTATTATTAGATGGCAGGTTCTGATTGGCTAAAATAAAAGGGGTGAATCCAAGTATTTTTCTTAAATCAATATGGTTCTTTTAAGCTTTGAATCGTCTAACTAATGACTTTTTTATCCTCAATAACACGATTTAGTTTTGACAATGATTCTTAATGTATTAAATATTCTATGCTTTTTTTAGGTATGTTTTAAAATGTACTTGCAACTAATAGAAAAGTAGTGAATAATTCTGGATTTTGTTAGAAACGACCTAGTTTTCTCTAAATAATTATATGTTCGTTTGTAATATTGAACCGGAACCTACCGGTTCAAGCAATCGGTTCATGGTTAACAAGTAAATGTAAAACCCTATTGGTAGCCTTGCCGGAGAGAAGCTTTTGTCTCCGTCACACAACTTGTGCTTCCTCTCGTCCTCGTCTCCGTCGCGTCAGAGAGAAAACGATTAAGCAGGTATGGGGAGAGATAAAGAGGATAAGACAGAGATTGATTCGGTTGTTCCATGGATGAGAGCTCCGGTTGACGTCAGCAATGTCGAAAATTGCGCTCTCGAAACCCTCCCTTGCCTTAATCCCAAGTAAACATCGTTTTGATTGAATTATCTCTCTGTTACGACTTTTGATTGAAACTTGGGCACCTTACTATTTCAAAGTTGGTTTCTAAAGGTTAGATTTTGATTTGGTCTCTCGAGTTATTATTATTCGAATTGGAGTTTTTAGATACTCTCACTTGTGTTAATCCTGCGAATCTATTACTTAAGGTTAATCCTGCGAATCTATTACTTAAGGAGGCGTTAGGGTATGTAGTGAGAGCTTGTTAAACTACCCGATATCTCTGTGTGCTTATGTACATGAATGAGTTCTCTGGCCTTTGCTTATTGAATTTGTTATTGGCCAGTGATAGTAAAACACCACCCAGTTTACACTGATGTTCTGTGTCTTGCTCCTCTACTTCTAAGATCAATTTCTTGTTTGAATATTTTTATCATATCATTTACAATATTCATATGGGTAAGAAGAACTGTTTTGCATCACTTGGTGCGTGATTAATGCCTTATTTTTGAAGTTTTGATGCGATAGGTTGAAGAAGGCATTGGAGAACATGGGCATATCTTCACTTTTTCCAGTGCAAGTTGCAGTTTGGCATGAGACTATAGGGCCAGGTGGTTTTGAAAGAGACATCTGTGTTAACTCTCCAACAGGAAGTGGAAAGACTCTCTCTTATGCTTTACCAATTGTGCAGATCCTTGCATCTCGTCCTGTCAGATGCCTCCGTGCTTTAGTCGTATTACCCACTCGTGATTTAGCATTGCAGGTAGGTTCCCACTCATGCGTTTTTGTAAAATGCAACAACTTTATTTCGCAAGCATATGGTGTACTAAA